ACTTCCCGGTTGAATGAATCCTGCACTTCTGTGCCAGGCAGTTTGCTCTACAGAACTCTGAAAACCATCTCCAAGCACTGTGATTAGGAGGGAATGTTGACACATGGGACATTTGTAAGGCACAGCTCAAATCTCTGGCAAGCCACTCAGAATGCTTTAATTTGTATATCACAGCTACACAGAGGGAGCTCAATTCATCAGTTGAAGCACAAGACAAGTGGGTCTTTATAAGTTCCAGAGTGGGTTACACAGAGCAACCTTGTTCTTTCAGAGGCACATAACAATCTCCCATCGGAAAAACAGCTGCTTTCACCCTGCCAGTGATGGAGAGTTTCCACTATACAATATTTTTGAAGATTACACTTAATTTAAACCCAGACAATGCTTGTAGGGAAGACCTACTTTGCAAAATGCAACTATCTGCTTATGGGTCAGATTGCTTACCTGATCCACCAGTTCAATATAGCTAAAGGCCAATAAGCACAAGGTTCTTTTGTACCACACAAGCAGTTTTGACTAGCTTTGGACATACATTCACATGGCCAAATGTAAAGCAGGAATTGAACTATCATGGATAGTATTCAAGGAAGTGCAGGGAAATAAGGTACAGATAGATATCATTATCATTATTGTTATTGCCATGAAATCTTGAAGCGCATCAGACAAGATGTTGAAATCCTCTGACTGGGATCCTCCAACACTCAGACCTCCTCTGATAACTCAGACAGGGACACTGGTAGACAAGATAATTTTTCAAGATTGAGCATAATTCCATGCTCCCACCAAATGGTGCTCAAGCAGCAAACCTCAGCAGTAAACATAGTAATATATAAAATAACAAAACAAGCATAAAAACAGGCAAGCAAAGTATCAATAAAGTCACTAAAACCCATAATAGGGCCAGTGTACCAAACTGTAATATTTACAGTGGTGATAAACGGTTAACAAGGCTCTGGTCCTGTCTGAGTAGAAAAGCCTATGTCTGCCATCCAAAAGGCCTCACAGAAGGGGTTAGATGAGAGTTGCTTCTCTCAGCAAAGAGTTGCGGAGCAGCCACTGAGAAGACTCTTTCTCAAGTTCCTGCTTAAAGCACTTCACATGCTGGTAGGAAGATTAAAAATGTGGATACACTATTATGGGCAAATATGCTCTTTTAGAAAGGGCCTAACAATCATTTTGGATTTGGCTGGGAAAATGGTCCAGTAACCAATGAAGTGGCAGAAACATGGGAGTGATACCAAGCCTTGGCCAATATTCCAGATGCAGCATTCTGAACCAACCAAAGATTTTAAACCCTCTTCAAAGGTATTTCCTCACAGAGCATGTTACATTAGTGGAAATGAGATGCCAAAATTTCGCATCTCCAGGAATGAGTGCAGTTGGCCACAGCTGGCAAGAGTGTTTTTGGTCACTCAGAACCTGGGCATACAGGTTCAAGGCTGCATTCAGAAATTTTCATGGGAAGTGTACCCAATTCCAAAAGAGGATAAACCTCCTCTTAAACCCTGATCTAACTTTGTACTGACTGGGAGCACCTCTGTCTCATCTGGATTAACCTTCAATTAGTTTGTTCTCATCCAGTCCATGGAAGGGGTAGCATAATTGTCCCATGCCCTGACCCTGACCTATGCACATTTATTACAATGCACTTAGAGAGATGGAAAAGCAGGGTACAAATGTTTCTAATAAAGAAAGAAAATATAAATAAATATATAGCATGCGGCTATATATTAAAGAATGCACATCAATAACTAAACCCTTGCAGCATTTTCCATGAGATTCCAAGTAGAAATCTCCCCTTCCAGTAGTTGATTTTAAAGATTAGATGATCTCACCCAGGTACGGTACTGAATCTGCCTTGGTCGCCCTGTACGATGATCTGTGCAGGGAGGACAGGGGGAGTGCGTCCCTGTTGGTTCTCCTGGACCTCTCAGTGGCTTTCGATACCATCGACAATGGTATCCTTCTGGATAGGCTAGCGGGATTGGGGTCGGAGGCACTGCTTTGCAGTGGTTCCGCTCCTATCTCAACGGCCGATTCCAGAAGGTAGTGCTGGGGGACTATGGCTCTGTGCCATGGCAGCTATGCCATGGAGTACCACAGGGCTCCATTTTGTCCCCTTTGCTGTTTAACATCTATATGAAACCGCTGGGAGAGGTCATCAGGAGGTGTGGGCTACGGAATCATCAGCGTACTGATGATTCCGTAGCCCACACCTCCTGATGA